GCATGGCTGGTCGCTGTTGTGGCAAAGCTGATTAGCTTCTGCTTGCCGGGTGACAGGTTGGGTGCAAAAATCCAATCTCGCGTTTTCTGTCCGAGTTGGTGGTTGGGGCTCGTCAGGCGGGCTGCCTTTGAGCGAATCTTGGGACGACTGCTCATCGTTGAAGCCCCAGGACAAGTGCCTTTGTGGTAGAACGCCTTTTATTGATGCAGCCGAGCGGGTCTTACTTCTCAGGTCCTGGTGGTGCTGTGCTGGAGACTGTGCCTTGGCCAGGTAGCAGTTCCCTGCCTGTGGCTGTTGCCGCCCTGAGAAACACGTGCCGGGGGAAAGAATTCAGGGTGTACAATATTGTGAGCACGCCAAAGTCTGCCAATGAAAAGAGTGCAGTTGCTTTGTGGTCGAGCTGGGCCAACGTTGGGGATCGGCTGTTAGGCTGTTTCTGCTCTGCGCCTGGGTGCGCATTGATGTCTTCCAGCAAGAGGGAGACGGGCGATGAACTTAGTCCTCGCGTCGGCTTGAGCAAGCTCCTCAGGCCCTCCCTGCAAAGCCATCTCCTTCTGAGGCCCTTCCTGGGCGAGCCCGGGAAGCCGGCCGTCCTGGTGTGATGGCCCCAGGGTGCCTTTCGCTTGCGATGTGCCCAATGTGAGATCTGCGAAGGATGAACCACACCTCGTTCTTAGATGCTGTGCCAGGGCCCAAGTGGTAAACACAGCTTGAGTGGAAGCTGGAAGGACCTGGAAGGCTGAAGATGACTCTTCCACTCAAAAAGTCGAGCCTAGGCTTGCGCCTTCTCTGGCACCTCTTTGTCGGAGTCCTGACGTACGCGTCCTGGTAGCCAATTATGTTCAGCTCTTAGATTCAGACGTGCACGCGCACGGGACTGGGACTTGACTGGGCGGGCCTTGAACCCTACACCCAAAATCCTAAACACCAAAACCCCCAAAAGCCTCAATCCCAAACCCGCAGCCGGGCTTCTCACAAACAAAACCAAAACATAAGCCTAAACCCTAAAACGCTAAAGCTAAACCCGAAACCTAAACCCGAAACCTAAACCCAAAACCTAAACCACATCTGTGTTGAGGATGCAGTAGGGTGGGTCCAAACACGACATTGCGCTGTGAAATCGCAGCGCCGTGAGCAACAATTCCAACACCTGGTCCAGGGCTTGGGAAAGCCATGCGCAGAACACTGAGATGGGCAAACGATGCGCGAGGATTGAATTGCGGAGCATTTCTCGCGGGTGTTTCACGGACACTTTGGGGCACGAGGCCGTGTGACCTTCGCTGCAGGTCTTCGACATTCCCTTGCTGAGTTCGGTGATGCGTGCTTGGGCCCCAGAATGTCGGACCGTGGATGTGCTGAGGTCAGTTTTTTTTTTCTTCTCTGGGGCGCTTCAATTTTTCCTTTTAACCAGCTATCCGTGGATCCGGTGGGGGGGGGGTCTACATGTACCTCGTGGGCTGCTCCCATACCACTCCACCTCCGGCAGTAGAACTCACCAGGGCATCGGGCTCCCAGAGGTGCCCTTCAAAGGCTCCGCAGGCGGGGTGGACGTGTCCGAAGGTCAAAGCCCAGCTTCGGGCAGTGTGAAGGTGTTTGTTATGAGACTTAGTTGTTTATCAATTGACATTTTGCAAATTTGGCTTTGCTTTGCAGATGGGCGTTGATACAGTGACCGCTTTTGTTGCTTTTTCTGTTCAACATTGTGCCATATTTTGCTACTTGTTTGTTTCCCTACGCGCTTCGTTCTCGTTCATGCGGGCTTTCATGCAGGTGACTTCGGGAACATGGCCGTGGAGAAGGAGTTGATGGACGTGAGGCTGGGGCCAAATCCCGAGACCCTCCAAAGTGGGGTTTTTGCGTGGCATCAGCTCACCAGCCCTGATTCATCAAGTCTGAAGTGGGCATGTGAATGGCGAAGCGCTGAGCATCAGGTTGCAGGCCTTCTGCGACCACGTCAAGAGCGGTGGCGCCAGGGGCCCCACGCAGACATCCCCTGCGATACCTTGCGGATCTGGCTTCCCGAGGTGGGCGCTTGGTTTCCGGAGGGCTTGCGGAATCGCGGCAACCCCGAGGTGCTGCAGGCTCATGGCATGCATGATCTTGAATCATTTTGAGCCACCCCCTTACCCCTTAGCCCATGCGAGATTGGTGGGCTCGCTGTTTCGGACACCACTCTAAAAGAGGCCTTCTGACAGTTTCCGCGCCTATCGGATGTCTAGGATTTTTGCCGTATGCAAGGAATTCCGCGCAGGGGCGTTTGCAGTACCCGCGCAAGCAGATGCCCTTGCCTCGGGCCACAAGCGGCGACGGAGGGAGGTCGCGAGACTTGAGGTGGAAATCTGGTGCTGCGCCGCTGTGGGGTGCAATGTGCGGCGTCCCAGATGAGAGCCACCAGCTAGCAGCTAGACCCTCTTTCTTTTGAGCCAAAAGGGATGGAATCCCCAGTTTGATGGAAGGCCCCGGCCTGGTCCGTGAATCTTCCTCCCCAACCCCAATCTCCTCTGCCCCCACCGGCTGGCCCGTTGCTTGCGGAGGTTAGCTGGCCGCTGAAAGCACTGATGGGAGGATGTCCAGCCAGAATTGGCCTCAAGGTGGGCGTGAGATAACATGAAAAGGTGGCTCCGAGGTGTATCAGCTTTTGGGTCTTGTTTCGAAGCAGGCATCTTGGGAACCCTCTCAATTTGAGATCAAGTCCTCCAGAGATTATTTTTTCTTGCAGTTGCGGCGAGGTTTTCCGGCTCACAGACAGCAGCCACGCCTGGCTCGCGTCACAGAATTTGAACTCTGCCGACGAGCGGACCAAGGCACGGGGCTGCTTCTAATCGGCCGCGCAGGGGATCAGTCCAGAGCCTTGTTTTCCAGATTCCAGCCCAGCTGTGGCCTTTCCTTGGGACATTGGCCCAAGCCTTGACGCAGCTCGCACTTTTTGTGGTCAAAGGAGAACACTTGAAAGGTGCTCGCCGGCCAGGCTGTGCGACTGGCTGGCTTGGCCAAAGATGCGATGCAGGAGGCCATCCACGAACTGGTGGCCAAAGGTTTCTCTGCAAAAGGAGCTGCGAGCTCGGCTAGCGTTGCATGCGAAGCGTGCGACGCGGTGCTGCACAGGTCAAACAGAATTGACGTCCAAGGCAGGGCTGGGCTTCTGTCCTCGTGTCGATTGGGATATATCATATCCCTTCGGCAACTTGTCTCCAGTGTGGGCTTGAGAGGACTTTCCGCGCCGACGCTGGCTTGAGGGCTGGCCGCATGTAAAAATAGCACAGACCAACTGCCATGACACGAGCTCTCGTGCGGCATGTCTGCTGCGCTTCGCTTCGAGCCGAGCTCGAGCGACGGATGGCAGCCCCTTGCGAGCTAGAATCTGCATGGCATCCGCGCAGCGCCTCGCAAGGATGCTAAGAGCAAAAGGGCGGTGCTCGGGCATTCTGGGTTGAAACGCTTGTTGTGGCAGGCCCACAACGCGCATTTTTGGCCATTTGATGTCCTGCAGCTGCTTCATCCCAATGCTATGCCGCCCTTGTTAGAGCCCCGCTTTGATGGGATCAGCGCAATGCAAATGCAACAGCGACTGCAAGTCACGAATAGAGGAGCGACTAGATGAGGACATCGAGGCTGCTTGGCCTGTGGAATTAGGGTTCCCAGACTCGTTTTTCCCGACCTGTATTTGTGCCCCATCATGGGGACTCACTGCTTGTCCGATCTGACTGTTTTGTGTCCGCAGGGCTTTGCTTGACCAAGGATAGTATCCTGTCAGTGGTTTCCTCCCGGACACTAGGGTCGGCCGAAGTTTTAGAATGCTTGCACAAGGCCCGGGCTGTCAATCGGGCTGTCGATTTTGTGCAGCAAGTCCTGCAGTCCTCCTGCGCGGGTCGCCATGCGGAGACCCGTTTCTGTTTGCACAGGTCAAACGGCAACCTCAGTTTATGCGGGTTTTCCTGCTCAGTGGCTGACCAGGCGTCATTAGATGCTGTGGGACAAGCGCAGTCGAACCAAGGCTTTTTCCTCTCGTTCACGCGATTCACGCACATGATGTACTTGTGGGAGCCTGTTTGCGGAAAGGGAGTTGGGGGGCTGTTTCGCCGGCTCTAGCTCGCTTTGCACTTCCAGAAAACGTTCACGGCCGTTCCTGTAGTTTGTTTTCCCCTCCTCCTTTGCCCCCACTCACAAGGTTGGGCTAGTGTTCCAGCATTTCGCTGAACTGTCCTTGTTTGCAGCTGGTTCCAATAAGTGGTCAACTGGTCCAAGGCATGGACAAATCTAGCCATGCAGAAACTCGCCTATCCGAAGGTGCAGCTCTTTACGCGGCTGCCAGAAGACCTGCTGCCAACCTTGGCGCCCCTCTGCGACGTGCGGGACTACTTGCCAGGCGCGCTCCGTAAGCCGACAAAGTGGACCCAGCGCTTGCCCTGCTTGAACTGTCGAATCCGATCCCCCCAATGCACCCTTTTGCATTGTTCTGCCAGGGGGGGAGGGGGGGGTGGGGGCACCCTGATGCCCCTGATCCTGAGGAAAGTATTGTTTGTTTGCCAGATGGCGTTTCAGGCCCGAATCAAGAAGCCGGGACGATGGGAGTGGCTCAGGCGACGTCGTGATCGAGCAGGGTGACGATGGTCACGAGCTCTTTGTGATTAGGCAGCTTGTCTTGAATCACTGTGCCCAGAGGTTGTGACTTCGGGGACTGTCCAGAAGAGTCAAACTAGTGTCTCGTCTTTTTGGAAGCACATGTATTTTTGGGTGCGTGGAGTTGCCCTTCATAGCCCTGCTGCAGTTTCTTAAGTGAATTGAGGAGGCCCGTCCCTTCATGAAGAAACTGGCCCGAAACACATGCATACCATATAGGCAGGCCCCAAGGAAACAACAGACAAAGCCATCTTGAGCTTACCCCTGGAGACCCGTGAGTGGCAGGAAGGGCATCACCTCGGTCCAGGTGAATGGGCACGAGGTGGCACAGCTCAAGGCAGGGTACGGGGCGTGGCTGGGACAGCTCACTCGGTTGGGTATCACGAGTCAAAGCCATGATTCCTTTTCTTGGTACTCACTAGGTTACTCTAGCTTCCTCTTTGTGCGGTTTGGAACCTTTCATTTCATTGCTGATGGCAAGTGGGGTACGCTTACGGAACTTGGCATTGTTTGAGGCCCAACTCAACGTTTGAGGCCAGGATCTTGCACAGTACTCCTTACTCGCGTTTGGTCCCTTCTTCAAAGGAAGAGGGCTACAGACCGCAGGCCACAGACAAGACTGCACATGCGCATCTCCCGTAGCTCGGGGTAGTGTCGTCCTGATGAACAAGTATTAATAAATACCGGTAGTTAGACCAGTGCCAGTTGTTAATCAGGGGCCTTGGCGAAGCTTCTCAAGGAAGGGAATCGAGCGACAAATGGGAATGTCTCTCCTCGCGTCAATTTTTGCCTGGAGTCAACCTTCGGACGTCCTGTGCTGGGTGATCTATTCCCACCTGAGGACGGAGATTACTTTGGAGAGAATTCGCTGCTCCGAGACGAGCCCCGGACTGCGACCATTGTGGCGAGCCTTGGCAGCAATAGCCGTCAAGCTGCACCCCGGCTGGAACCACCTACATTGCCTACATGTCTCTCCTGTTTCTGTTGCGTCGCAGCGTGTGCCGTTGAACCATGCTGAAATGCTTCTGGCTCAGGAAGGCGCCGTTGTCAACGATTATTGTCCAAAGGGAGAAGTTTGACGAGCTGGGCTTGCGGGAGAAGCTGGTATTCAAAACTCGGAAGGCCAGAGGGGAAATGGCTTCTTGGCGGGGACAACAGGGACTGCAACTTTGTCAGAAAGGCAATCGGCGGTGGTTTCTTAGAAACCTCGGCAGCGGCGCGCTCAGACTTCCAGAGTGCCGCGCTGACATTGCTGGGGGCTAGATAACCCATAGTGGTTTCAGCTCCAGACGGCCGCAGGAAGACATAAAGGCTTTGTGGTGGTAGGAAGTCTGCGAGCCAAGGCCAAGCCACCCTGCTTGAAGTCGAACGATGACCGCGCAGTCATGGAAATGGCCTCGGCCTCAGGTTTTCCGAGGGTATGACCTCTCAAAACAGTGGCTGTTGCCTGGTCAGAATAATCATCTTTGACTCTGCCCATATCTAAAAGGGTCTCATCTCGTTTTGACACAATGGCAGCGCCGTCCCTAATGACGTGCGGGGCCAACTTGGCTCCAGTGTCAGCACTTTTCCGTGGCGAAGCGACGGCGAGCCGCTTTTGTTTTGCAGCCCGGGGCTGAGATTCTGAGATTCTGCCTGACCGGAGGCACTCAAGAACAACTCCAACTTGCAGGGCCTGGCGCGATCCCTCAGAGCGCTTGGCGCTGACCGGGTTTCTGCGAACGTAGCATGATCCAAATGTTTGGTGAAGCATGTTTTTCCGTAGGGCCTTTGTTGTCACCTCTGCCCATGTCGGCTGTGTCTCTTGTTGAGTTCATTGAAATCCCCGCAGGTGGCCCTGGACGATAAAAGCATTCATCGATTGATCGACTGTGCTTGGAAGGCAGGCGAAGAGAGGGAGATGCTTTTTGATCTCTCAAAGGCGTTCGAAAAGCTCACGAGCGCCGCAGGAGGAAGTCAAAGCTGGCCTCGACGTGATCACCGAAGGTGACCTCAACGCCAGCTTCTTCTACATCGTAAAGCGGGGGCCTGCAATACCGTGCCCTGCAGGAAACTCTACATTTTCCTATCAAGCCGGCTTGAGCAACACTGCATTGCCAATTCGATGTTGCCCCTCGGAATGATGTAGTTTCACATACGCCCCAGGTCAGGGAAATTTGAGGTGCTGCAGCCCGCGGCTCAGCTATCCTTTCAAAGAAGCGAGTGAGGTGGGGGGTCGCTCTGGGTGTTTGTAGGCGGGTGGACGAGAAAGCTGCCCAGCGCCGGGTGCTGACGGTGTATTTGTGGCGCGACCGCATGTGAGCGGGGATGAGGCTAGTCTTCTGAGGCGTTGGGCAGCTGAAGGCTGGCAGCAGCTTCGGAGAGCCTGATTCTCACGGGTGCGTTGGTTACCGTTGAGTAGCGCTCGCCCAGCAAGTTGGACGCTTCCGAGCCGGGCATATCAACTTGACTGAGGCTCGCTCTCATTTTCACAGCCCCGCGGGCTGCTACTGTCAAGGCGGGAGCTCGATGCTTTTGGGCAGGCATTGCACTGGGCTTGGGGCTGGGAGTTAGCTCTCTCACTCCCTGACCCCAAATGTCGGCATTGCGGAGGCAAAAACGGGGGGCCAGGGGGCCATAGGAGGGGGCCGGGAAGGAAAGAGCAAAAGCTGACGCGCGTAGGCACTGGTTGACGCTGAGCTGTGGGTGATGGACAGGTTGGGGCTGAGGTTGGTGTTGACATTGTTGACTTGCATGCAGGGGGTTTGTAGTTTCATTTTCCAGAGTGAATGCCGAGGTCAGATTTCAAACAGATTCTGGCAGATCGCAGCGACAAGTGCCAGGACAGGGGTTGCACGCCTATGTGTGTGAAGTGGGGCGCTACTTTGTTTTGTGGCACAT